CAACACATCCTTGATTACATTCACAGCAACCGTTAAGGCCTTAAGGTGGTGATCAGGCCTCCCTCCTCACAAAATGGTGACATCTCAAAAAGAACAGCATGCAGAGTACAGACTAAATGGCTGACTGCAAAGAAGAAGCAGGAAACGGGAAGTATGGCTTTCTAGAAATCTGTGAGAGATTGCATATATCTCCAACACCACTGAATTTATGGATTTCTACTGGGGGGTTTTTCCCCCTTAGCTCATAAGCTAATTACTAATTTAAACAGGTCCAATTGACTCTCGAAACACACAGGCTGAAGCAGGCATGTAGCCGGGGGGGGGGGGGGGGGGGGGGGCTTCAGCCCCCCCCCAAATTCTCATGGTGGTTCACGAAAAGGCCTTACTGGTGCATTATTTAAACTGTTATGTTTATTCATATCATGATCTGATCACCATACTCAATATATCCCATATGCATGGGGTATTGGGGTAATGATACAAAAGGTTTGCTAGGCTAGACCCTCTTTCACTCAGACTCACCCCCCCCCCGAAACCCCCCCTGAAATTTTTTTAGCCTCCCCCGAAACGAAATCCTGGCTACGAGCCTGGGCTGAAGACTTAAACCCCTGGGTTCAGTTTCTCCACACACTAGAACCCAACTTCCACTTTTGTCCACTGATTAAAAGAAAACGGACTCTTTTAAAATGCCTGCTCCTGCCAAGTGGCAGTTAGCTCCGCCCCTTTGGCTTCTCTAACTTGGATACATTCTAACAGCAGGTTCCATCGCTATGGCAACGCCTCAGCTCAGGGGACACATAAGCTGGCCTGCACTTATCATATCCCAAGATCAATAAACACATTTAAAACATACATTATACTTAGCTATTTTGTTACATTACGCCCCTACCACTAAATATATTTCTGGAAATGAGAATGAACCTCATTTAAAGCAATATACGCCTATATCACATATATAAACAAGCATATAGATTAACATTTCAATAAAAACTGTGCTGCAAATTACATTGGAATTAATAATTGGTCTTACCAATACTTACACAGTTTTAAGTGATTACATCAGTTTAAAAACAAAAGCAATATGCAGAATACAGTTCAATAAAATAATTATGTCAAAGTCCATTTTAAATAAAGCAATTAGGTTAGCATCTTACCTATACAGCCATGATACTAACAGGAGCGGGACGCAGGGAGCATACAACCCCCTTGTTGTACCAGCTCCACTGGCTGCCGATTTGCTACCGGGCTCAATTCAAGGTGCTGGCGTTGGCCTATAAAGCCTTAAACGGTTCCGGCCCAAGATACCTATCCGACCACATCTCGACCTACGAGCCCACCAGGACTTTGAGATGTTCCGGGGAGGCCCTGCTCTCGATCCCGCCTGCTTCACAAGCACGGCTGGCGGGGACGAGAGATAGGGCCTTCTCGGTGGTGGCTCCTCGGCTGTGGAACACCCTTCCCGTGGACATTAGACTGGCTCCTTCCTTGATGATATTTCGCAGGAAATTAAAGACTTGGTTGTTCAAGAAGGCGTTTGAACAAGAAGTGCAATGATTGGAAATGACTATAGGAATGGAACAACGGAAAATGATATTGGATTGTGGTTTGGACGATGAGACGACGCGGAATGGTTCTCGTAGTAGTGATGATGTTTTTGTATAATGATGGACTGTGAATTGTTTTTATATTGTGTTTTGAATTTGTTCCTTCTATGTTGTACACTGCTATGAGTCGCCCCTGGGCTGAGAACAGCGGTATATAAGCAAAGTAAATAAATAAATAAAATAAATAATATTCTAGTTAAACAATACAGTATTAACACTTACCAATTGTTTAAACACATCTAACCTACCAATCCTTTTTTTTCCCACCATATCAACAGCAGATGTCATTGTCTCAAATACATTTTTATCCCTTTAATACACACAAAAATTACCTTCTACTTGGTTTGGCCAATTTACAAGATATTTATCTATATACCATACCACAACTTTTCCCCATACATATGGTCCTAATTTGTTAATGGCCCACACAATAGCCAAATAGCCACTTTTTTATTATGGACACCGATGTTTTACTGTCCAATGTCCCATGGCTTAAACACAATCTTGCATGTAGTGGACTAACTGTCCACAGCACTGTCCCTTTATGATGATCTTTGGGCTTCTTTTCACCACATTTACTTATCTTCTTCTCTGGCTTCTTCCTTTGTCCCTTGATGACTCGCTGATGCCTTTGAGGTACGGTTTTCCCTCCTCACAGGACAATCTGGAGCTTTCCCGTTTTTTCTCCCTCTCCCTCTCCTGTGGTTTCTTCTTTGTAGCTGAGGCGATTTTGGACCTCTTTGGGCTCTTGTTGCTTTCCTGGCTTCTCTGGCAACCACAATGGGCTTTGTGGTGGTCCAGTTAAACAGGTCCAATTGACTCTGTAAACACACAGGCTGAAGACTTAAGCCCCTAGGTTCAGTTTCTCCACCAGAATTCAACTTCCACTTTTGTCCGCTGACTAAAAGAAAACTGACTCTTTTAAAATGCCTGGCCCTGCCAAGTGGCAGTTAGCTCCACCCCTTTGGCTTCTCTAACTTGGATACATTCTAAGAGCAGGTTCCATCGCTATGGCAATGCCTCAGCTCAGGGGACACATAAGCTGGCCTAGACTTATCATATCCCAACATCAATAAACACATTTAAATCATACATTATAATTATCTATTTCGTTACACCATCTTATAGTTACTCGGGTCCAGTGCACCCATAATACGGTGTGCATTAGACTTGAGGAAGATTGGCAAAACCAAGTGCAGCTTTGAGAAACCAGGAGAAACCAGGCTTGGCTTGAATCCCTGGCCTTTCACAGGCCGCCCTCTCCTTTTCTCCATCACAGTCTACAAATTAGAGCCCAGGATCATGTTAGCAGTCCAAATTGAGCAGCCAGCCAGGGCAAATGGTGTACGAGGACATCTCTCCCACTGGCCCCATCAAAGGGAGGTATGTGAGAGCACCCACGGGCTTCCTTCCCTTCCCTTGCTTCCTCACGAAGAGCCAGTGATGACAGACTTAGCCTCAGCTCCCATCTTCACTGACCTGCTGGCTTCGACTGCCTCCTTCTCTTGCAATCCAGGCTGCAAAGGGGGCTTCCTTCCTTGCCTCAAAAGCAAGCAAGGAAAGAGGGATTCAACAGTGCTATTCAAGCCCCCTCCCTCTGTATGGGATGGGATCCTTCCTTGCCTTCAGCTCCAGACTGGGCTGGGTTGTAAAGGAGGAGACTGCAAATGGGGAACAGACAGCATCCTCCTCAAAAGCAGGTAAGGAAGGAAGGACCAACTCCTGCACTGGCAAAAGAAGTCAAACATCGATTCTGTCTTTGTTATCCCCTGGGTTCCACCGTGTCATCTGATCTTTGGTTCCTGAGAAGCGCCATTCCCGCATCTCCTTCTGAAATCTGATTGGTTCTTAATGTTTGGGCCATTCATTTGAACCTATTTCTCAATCTTATAGCTGACAAAAATCCTGTAGTTTTTCATAAACTTAAACTTTGTTCTTGATCAGATACAACTGAATATTTCCTGCAGCAATGAATAAAGGTCAGGGTTATAGCTTCTCGGCAACTGATGTGACTCTCATAGATCCACAAATATCACATGGCTTTCTTGATGGCTCAGTCAGCATCACACTGCTTTTTTGTCCCTTTGCTTCTATGCAAAGTCTACATTCTTCTCTATCGCAGCAAGTTAGCAAATCCATGCCACTGCTTAAGTGAGCAGACTTGAATCAAAGTCGAATTTCCTTCACATGTCTGAGTCTTTGAAGCCACAAGCTTAAACAATCATCTTAATTACAATTCTTTGCAATTAACTATAAAATTAAGTATTCATCTGCTGTTCAAATATATCTTCCCTTCAGTGTCTATGCCAGAGTTTTAAGGTTGGCTTTGAGCCCATCTTTAAATCTCTTTTCCTGTCCACAACATTCCGTTTTCCGATCTTGAGTTCGGAGTAGAGCAACTGCTTTGGGAGACGGTGGTCAGGCATCCAGATAACGTGGCCAGTCCAGCGGAGTTGATGGTGGAGAACCATCACTTCAATGCTGGTGGTCTTTGCTTCTTCCAGCACGCTGACATTTGTCCGCCTGTCTTCCCAAGAGCTTTGCACGATTTTCCGGAGGCAGCGCTGATGGAATCGTTCCAGGAGTTGCATGTGACGTCTGTAGACAGTCCACGTTTCGCAGGCATATAGCAGGGTTGGGAGGACAATAGCTTTATAAACAAGTACCTTGGTATCCCTACGGATGTCCCAGTCCTCAAACACTCTCTGCTTCATTCGGAAAAATGCTGCACTCGCAGAGCTCAGGCGGGGAATACCATTGCTTTTACTATGCGGATCTTCGTGGCTAATGTGATGTCTTTACATTGCACAAAGGAGGGGGTACATTTTGTTTAGGGAACTTATCATATTACTTTCGGGATTTGCTATGCATTGTGATGAATCAGTGGGATTCCAGCAAGGGGGGTGCATGTGTGGAGAACTTGTTGTCCCACACCCTGCATCGCCCGACTTGCTGCTGGCCCAATTCTACAGGGGGAAGCATCGTTGCTTGGTTTCACTCCATTGCTCCAAAGGCAACATGGGAAGCCGCCTGTAATATCGCCACCACAGCTTATGCTGCTTGCTCTCCCCTTTCACTACAGAGCCCGGAGAGAAATTGATATGCATCATGCAATAGGCTCAATGACCAAAGGGAAGACCAAGCGGTGTACGACGGCAAATTGCCCCATCCGATGAGGTCATAAATATTAGTGATTTAAGAGAGAAATGAGATAAGTTTTATATTGGGAAACAACATTACCTTGTATGTTTTTATTAAGACCTTAATTCTTCAGGAAGCAGTTAATGAGATTTTAAACACTAATTAAAGTGACCTATTCGACAGCAGATACACTGTCTAAGCAATCTGGCTTTTTATCACTTCACAGCACCTGCTAGTTTGGAGTGTGACACTTCAGAGATTATTCCGAGCAAGTGTTAGGAGCCACAGGCAAACATACACCCGAATATAGAATGACAGAGATGGCTATGTCTTAAATAACGCCGTAGCTCATGGAGAGGACAGACAGGTCCCACTAAGGGTGCCGTCCAGGTAGCTTCTTCCAGAAAACTATGGACAGCAAAGAATATCAGGGAGCCCATTTGGCCTTCAAATCACGCTGGCACAAGACAGATGAGGAACTTTGTAGACATAGTATGTCCTTTGTACTGCACAAGGCAATCCGGAATGATTTTTTCCAGAGTTATCTGTATCTGCTGGAGAAGCTACCACTGGGTGAGTATGCTGAAAAACAGTATTTGTACTGAGAATCTAATGCATTGTTGATGGTAGGTGATGCATTCATATTTGCCCATGGAATTAATAAAAACCAGACAACAAATCAATAAAGACAGAAGAAACCATAAACACTAGCATATTCTTTTTTCTAATCCTCCATAGTGCCAAGCAGACATAAAGTACTTGGTGTCATAAAAAGAAAACCAAGACCAGGAATTTCAATGATATAAGACACTCTGTGTAGTCTTACATACAAATCTGCCAGCTACATAGGTCCCCCATGAGTATGGGATAAAATTATTGTAATATTATAATAACAATAAATTCAGAAATTAATTACAAATAAATTTTACCTTTATGTTTTATTTTTGTTAAAATAGAGACACACATTTCTCACCTGTAAAGGAGACCAGAGCTATAAGGTACCTCTTTAGTTTTGCTAGTCCATGAGGAACAGGCAAAACTCCCAATAAAAACAGAGGAAAATGTGAGTATTAATAAAGCAAACTACTTTGTCTACATGACATTCTGTACTAACAAGCAGATATAAACACCAATTGCAATAAAAAGGAGTGAGAAGATTGAAACTAAAATGATGTGTGATACTATACTTAGTCTTACATAAAAGTGTCTGTGCTACATAATTTTTAGAAATATTGTTGGCTGAGTAAATATAAAAATATCTTGTTCATCATTCTAGAAGAAAAATTCCCATAATCCATATTTGATTTTTTTCTGGAGGGAGGGGGGGAATAGTTTTGAAAATAAAAGGTGATTTTATCCACCTCCCAGTTCTTCACATCTCTATTACAAATATTTAATCATCAATAAAATTATCATTGAAAATAATCTGTCAGTCCAACTGGCCAGGTAATGATTTGCTTGCAGATTATTCATGCAGCTCAAATGAATGAACTTCCTGTATTGATCACAGATTGCAAATCTTGGAAAATAAGATTAAATGGGAGGCCACCATCAAGTCCTAGGTGCTGTAGGTTACCATATATACTCGAGTATAAGCCAAGGCACCTAATTTTACCAGAACAAACTGGGAAAATGGATTGACTCGAGTATAAGCCAAGGATGGGAAATGCAGCAACTACTAGTACATTTCAAAATAAAAAAAAAGATACCAATAAAATTACATTAATTGAGGCATTAGTAGGTTAAATGTTTTTGAATATTTTCATAAAATTTTAATTTAAGATAAGACTAATTAAACCATTATTCTAACCTTCTTCAATGTAAATGTGCTTACTGTATCTTTCCAATAATAATAATAATATAGTAAAATAATAAATGTAATAATAAGATTAAAATGATAAATGTAATAATAATAAATAGAATGAAATAATAAATTTAATTAATAATAATAATAATAATAATAATAATAATAATAATAATATTTGCCGTGTCAGCAGCGACTTGAGAAACTGCAAGTCACTTCTGGTGTGAGAGAATTGGCTGTTTGCAAGGTCGTTGCCCTGGATGATTTGATGTTTTTTATCATCCTTGTGGGAGGTTTCTCTCATGTCCCCGCATAAGGAGCTGGAGCTGATAGGGGGAGCTCATCTGCTGCTCCCTGGATTCGAACCTGCGACTTGTCGGCCTTCAGTCCTGCCGGCACAGGGGTTTAACCCACTGCACCACCGGGGGCTCCATATATATATATATATAAAATTTTACATTATATATATATATATAGAGAGAGAGAGAGAGATAATGTAAAAGAAAAAATAACCCTGACTTGAGTATAAGCCGAGGAGGACTTTTTTAGCCTAAAAAAGGGGCTGAAAAACAAGGCTTATACTCGAGTATATACAGTATATCTTAGTGGAGGGAACTGGGAAAACAACCTCTGAGCATTCCCTGTCTAAAAAGCCCATATGAAATTAATGGGGGTCAACAGGTACCTTGAAGGCACATATTGATCACTGAATGTTTTACTTCCTATGCTTACACATTTCTTTATTTGCAAGTAGTGCTGGAAGGACCAATGATGTCCATGTTAAGAAAAGAAAGGATTAATAGGGAAGTCAGTGTCTATTCAGAAATAGGTCACATATGGGAGTATGCTTCCTGGATTGTTTATTTAGGACTTTTACACTTTTGCTTACTGTGTTTGATGAGAATAGCTTGATAATATTCTCCCTGTTTACCTTGACCTTAAGCCTATTATTCTTAATCTTGCTATATGGCCTATTATTCTCTCTACTTATTTTAACCGTACTTGGCTACATCTGACTGATCCGTTGAAACTAAATTCCCATCTCGGATTGATTATGATCTGGTACATTTTTCTGCATTTATGAGCTGTTAGTTTTTTTCAGATTTTAAAAAATGTATTTAAGTATTTACTTATAAAGACATTTACATATTGCCTTTGAGCACCTCCTACATAAGTGCCCTCAAGGTGGTTTATAACAATAACATAAAATAAAAAAATGAAACTATAGAAACAAATTTATTTATTTATTTATTCATTCATTTACTGATTTTTACTTTGTTCTATGTCCACCCTGAAGGGGACTTAGAGCGGCTTCCAGTTTGGCAATGATTCAATGCCTCATAGCAACATAAAAGCAGATAAGTATACAACACATTGCAAAAGATAGCACAATTAACAGACAAATAAAACTCACTGAAAACCTGGCAGAATATGTATTTCTTCACTGCCCACATAAGAAAAAACTATTAGAAGATATTAACTATGGTGAGCATTACAACTGTTGAAATGAAAGGTATTGCAAACCTCAAGATATAGTTATGCTGTTATGGATCTGAGTTAGAGTCCCTGTAGAATTGCAATTTAGGAATGGCAGAATCAACCTTGAGAAGACAAAGAGAATTGTAAATTTGAGAGTAAGAACTATGCATGTTCAAAATGTAAGTAACTGATAAATTACTGCCCTTATTTCTTTGCAGTCAAACTTTATGCATTGACAAGTGAAGTCATCAATGGTGAAATGCAATTCTATGCCAGAGCCAAAAATTTCTACAAGGAGGTGCCAGCATCAGAAGATGGTATGATGGGAGATTATGTCGAGTTGTCCAGTACAGATACTGAGTCTTCTAGGGAATTCCTTAGGAGTTTTGTAGGGGTGAGTTGTCTACCTAAGAGACTTGTGTATATTTGCCGTTCATGTGCAATCCTTTGGATTTCTGATTATGCTTTCGTTTTAGACAAGATCAGTATAAAGCGCACTGCATTTGCCCCCCCCCCCCCAAACTGTGCTGGACTGGAAAAAAACTTTTTGAAAGAACTATTATTAAATTTTAAATTTGCATTTCCAAAACCAATCTGTGCCAGTAAGAATAATTCATGCCATTTTATAAAGCAGTATTAATTGTAGTATAATTCTGGCTATGCATGCTGACAATATTTTTTCCCAATGACAAAACATGAGATTTATATTTTGAATATGCTTGTTTCCTGGGTGGAACAGAATGTTATATAGCATGATACATGCAATTAGAGTAAACAAACAGGAATTAAGTACATATAACACACACAAACACACATCTGCAAAAGAAGATTGCAAAACAAAGTAGCAAAATTGGAAAATGTGTGCAAAACTCAAGCCTATTGACAGTGGATTGAACAGGGACTGTTTTTTCTTGACATAGTGCTCATAATATTAGTTAACACCCCAACCTCATGAGGATTCTCTTCTGCAGTTTGTTACATCTTCTTTCTGGCTCTCAATCAGCATCACACTACATTCCAGTCACTGCTTCTACCATTATATAACTATCATCACGCTTTGGCTTTAAGCAAGATTTCCCCCTTTCTTTTAATGAAGAGTTAAACCTGAACCATGCCCACATGTTTTATATTTCTATTGCTATTCACATATATCAACTGTTCGTGCATATCATGTAGGCCTGTTCCTTGACACTTTCCTTCTTGCATCTGATGAAGTAGGCCTAAGTCTATAAAATCTTTTGTTATCAATGTCTGCCTGTAAATCTCAAAATGCTTAGGGATTGCTTTATCAGTTTTTAAAAATTATGTAACTCATTGACAGATTTTATAATTATTTATTTATGACATTTATATGCCGCCCTTCTCACCCCAAAGGGGACTCAGAGTGCCTTACAAGTCATATGTACACAAAACATACTATATTATTAGCACAGTACTAATACATCATTCATAATATTAGGATTATATAATATTATATTGTTGCTGGGGGAGGGTCTCTGATGTTGCAGGAGACAAGATGGAACTGTCTTCTCTGCTCCCTTCTTTACTCTGGCCCCAGAGTGGCTGTTGGTGCTGGGGAAGGACTCTGATGTTGCAGGAGACAAGATATTACTTGGTAGGATCCTTAGTTGTGGCACCATGCAAGCCAGACACCCTTGCAGCTCCTCATTGGGCCTGAACGTACACCCTAACATACTATTGCACTTCCATCCACTGACTACTGTTGTTGATTGAGAAACAATTTGAGTTATATAATGTTCTGGCCAGTATTTGCAATACGAAGGGGTTCATTGGTTGTGCCAGTAGAAAAAGGAAAAACAAGCAAATGGTAGGGTCTCTGCGTGGAGAAGGTGGTGAAATGCTAAGAACCGATAGGAAAGAAGGCAGACCTGCTCAACACCTTATTTGCCTCAGTCTTCTCTCAAAATGAAACCAATACTCAACCTGAGCGATATGGAGCAGACAAGGCAATAGAAGAAATGCAACCCAAAACAGGTTAAAAAGTAATCAAGGAATACCTGGCTACTCTAAATGAATTCAAGTCACTCTCAAACATAGATTCCAGGGAAGAAAGATAAGATGTAAAATAAACATCCAAGTCCTTTAAGAGCCCTCTTATTGAGCTATTCTCCAAACATTACTTAATAATCATCTTGCCATGAAATATCCTGAAAATGTTTAGGAACACTGGAATAAATTGAAGACCTCTATCATTACAACCTGAGAACAAATCATTGGGTATCAAACTAAGAAACATCAAGGTTGGCTCGATGAGAATGACAATGAGATTCAACATATAATCAATAAGAAAAAGAAAGCCTTCCAAATACAGCAAAGAGACATCAACTGTGTCACTAAGAAAAAGATCTCCACTAGTGCAAAAGCTGAGATTTAAAGAAGAACTAGAGAACCTAAGAATACCTGGTGGACAAAAAAGGCTCAAGAAATCCAATACTTTGCAGATATCCATGATGCATGAGGATTTCTTATTGCCATGTTGGCCCAGTTCAGCTCACATATCTTGGTGAATCTTCGTTGGTTTCTGTAAATTAATGTGGATGCTTTATGTTTAGGATTTATGTTAGATATAATTTTATACGTTATGTCATTTTATAAGTTGCTTTCATATGTGAGGTTATTTTCGATTATTATGTTTGTATTTGTTGTTGTGCTGAGGCACTGAATGTTTGTCTTTTTTGTTTGTTGGAATCCGTCCTGAGTCCCTTCGGGGAGATAGGGCGGAATATAAATAAAGCTTTATTATATACCCTCTATGTTCATTAGATGGAACCAAAATTCTAAGAATAAAAAATCAATTGCACTACATTGGAAAGATCATTCCCATAATCTCCTTCACTGCAGTTCCTACATGGCCAAAGAAGCTTTCTCACAAATCCTGCAACAACAACCAAGGATGAACCTGGCACGTACTATATGCGGTACCACTAGACAGTGGGGACATTGCGGGGTCCCTGTAGAGGGACTCTTTATAGTGCTGATCTAGAGTAAAGTTAAAATGGGGTTTTGTTTTTTTTAAAAATGCCCTCTAGAGCAATGCTTCCTAAACTGTGGGTTGTGACCCCATTTGGAGTCCCCTAACCAAATATGGTGATCATTAAGAATTTGTGTAGCTTGCCAAGTAGTGGCTGATTTTGACACTTATATTAATTGGTTAACAATAGAATGCAACAAATGTTTCAGCTGTGTTTTATAAAATATGAAAATCAACCTTGCAAGTCTAGCAAATGTTGATTTTGCTTGATGACAAGTCTTGGACTACGTATTTTGGCTCATGGTAGGGAATGAGTGCCTGCTGTTCCCACTCTGAAAACAGAAATGGGTTGGATTTGAGCAAAAAAGGCACCTGAATGGTCATTCAGATTTTGCGTTTTGTGATCACATGATTCCATACAGTAGGGAGTGTGGACTATATAGCTTGTAGACTGCACTAATTCTTATCCCATGACCATTAAAAGGTCTTTATAGCTAGGTTGAAGGTGACCTTTCATCCAGAAATGTAAATTGAGCTTACCTCCACAAATGACTTTTAGGCTGGACATGCAAGTTTCACAAACACTCACCAAGGGGGAGCATAGAAAAACCAAATCACCCCTTCGGGTAACAGGCATAATCCCATAACAATGTCTCCATACACCTAACAATTGAGACAAACCAAAAAATGAATACAAGTTGGCCAAAGCCTTTCTTATTCCTTCTCCTGAAAACCCATTTAGGGTTGCTACACCCCTTGCTACCCATTGTTTAACCAGCATGGACCATTGTCCTCACCCAGACTAGAGAAACAACTATTAGTACCCATTATCTCACTTAGGAGCCCCCAGTGGCGCAGTGGGTTAAAGCCCTGTGCCAGCAGGACTGAAGACTGACAGGTCGCAGGTTCGAATCCAAGGAGAGGCGGATGAGCTCCCTCTATCAGCTCCAGCTCCTCATGCGGAGACATGAGAGAAGCCTCCCACAAGGATGATAAAACATCAAAATCATCCGGGCGTCCCCTGGACAACGTCCTTGCAGACGGCCAATTCTCTCACAACAGGACACTCCTGACACGACAAAAAAAATAATAATCTCAAACTTAGAAACATTATCCCCCTTTCCACACCCATGAGGGACAGAACAAGCAATGGCCACAAAACTTCAAACTGAGGAATGACAATTTATTAAAATTCATTCCAGACCCAGAGACCAATGGGCAACAATGACAGACAGAAGATCCTAGTCTGTCACGATATGGACCAATTGACACTCAGGACAGCAGAAGCTTTTTGTTTCAAACTGCTGTCAAAATGCTAGAAATATTTCTGTATGTTTGCATTGATTTACATTTTTGGAGCACAGGCTCTGCTGACATAAACACATCTGTTCATTGTCTTCATCCCATTTGTTTGTCATTTGGTCCTTTGGGGAGCTTGACATGCCACACTTCTGAACCCATGGTATTTGTGGAGCTGAAATCACTCAATACCTTACCCCCGGTCCCCCAAAACCCACCCACTTTGCTTTCAGTGAATAGTACAATTGACTCTGGAGCGCAGAATTCACTTCACTCAGAACACTGAGAGTTTTAAAAGGACCAGAAAAGTCTGGAAAATCACTTTGAGTTGCCGAAAATAGTGTAAGCACAATATGGCATGCGTGGGCCTCCAATTCCTATCTAAGAGCTAGATCACATCTGTACTAGTACATGGGATCGTATGGAAATGAAAGGAAATCAAAGCAGTGAGTATTTACCTCATATTTCCATACCACCATAATAGAAACATTTGAATCAGAATCTGTGCATTTTACAGAAGAAAGTTCCGCACACACAATTCCTCCAGCCCCACACCCTTTTGTAGTATATGGACTGGAGGAATAAGATATTTTTATTTAGAACTTTTTGTATACAATCTCCAGTTAATGCTCAAAGTTTGGCAGCATAGTGGCTAATAGCTAAATCAAGCCAACTGGGTCAGTTGCTGAAGAGTAAGCCAACACTTTTATAAATGTCATTGAACATTTAGCCAGTGGGTCTTCTATACTTTAAATTAGCAGTTGGATTTAGCTCTTAGTTCAAGCAAATGCATGTCTGCGAAAATACTGATCTCATTGAATTCAACAGTATTTACTCTTGGGTAGCGTGGGCTTGCAAACAGAGCTAGCAAGGGCCTAAATTATTAGTCAATCTATGCTATGTAAAATTGAAATAATGTTAGGAGCCAAAATTTAAGAAAACCGCACACCGTTTTAGTGCAAGTATGTTGAAGATTACAATGTAATATATTAAAAAATACTGTGAATGTAAGAGGGGCAATGTCTATGTGTGATCATGCCCTAAATTTTAATAACATCTTATCTCCTAATTTATGAACCTCTCTTTGAAACTTGAAACTTAAAAGCATGTGACATCTTTGGATGGGTTCTTAACCAGTAATATGAAGCCATATGCAAAGCATCAGCAATGATGAAATACTGTTCTCTAAGTAACAGAGAAGCCCGATCTATTTTGGGATCCTAGTATAAGATTCCAGAATACAACTGTTATATTGAATGAATGGGGTCCAAGGAAGTGTAATTTTCTGATAGAGATCTTACAGCCCTTTGATATGGGTTAAAGACATGCTTCAAAGTCAGGGTAGTGAACTAAATATTGCGGAGTACAACAGATTAAAGAGATATAATTAGTCAGAACACTTTTCATAATTTTCAGCCAGGACACTTACCATATTATATGTATGAAAATTTTAATTGGCCTACTTTCAATTTAAAGTGATTTACTACCAATTTCTATGCATTTAGTGACCCTTAGTAGGATTTATGCCCACATATATGTGAAAGTAATCAAGCAATCTCCCAGGAAGTCCCACTGAACACAGTTGAGCTAGTATTTGAATATATATTTACTGATTATTTGATTTGCTTAAAACCCATGCCCTCTGCTAATATGTGTTTGAAGTAGCATACAGCTACGTATAAAGCTTCATATAAAACAAGAAACAAAACTGAACAATATAATTTTGAGGGGCAATTACAAATTGTGTAAAAACATCAAAAGCCCAATTAAACCCACCATCAAAAACAGGACATTGCAGGGGGCAATGTCAACTTCCTTAGGAGAAAGTTCTGCAGTTTTGAGTACAGCGGTTGAAAAGGTCTATCATCTAATCACACTGAGGTTGGTGAAAGTCTAATCTGCAAGCAGCTTGTAGCCCCTGGATCCCACTTTTGCAGTCCCTCAAACCCCATTCCAATTCACCCAAGCTCCCAGAGTCACACAAATTTTATGTTGTTTTCACAGCATGATTTTTTTGTGGAAAATGCTGCCCAGAATAGCTAAAATGTGTTCAAATACACAAAAAGCCCACCTCTAATCCTTATCACATCCAATCATCCGTTATTTTATCTGTTTTCCTTACAAAATGCATCAGTAAGTGATGCATTTTGGAGAGACAAGGATGATATAGGGGTGTAAGTTGCACAAATGTTTAAGGCTGGAAAATTTGCTTCTTTTCCCATGCAGTCATCCACTTTTTTTTATTGTGTCAGGAGCGACTTGAGAAACTGCAAGTCGTTTCTGGTGTGAGAGAATTGGCCGTCTGCAAGGACGTTGCCCAGGGGACGCCTGGATGATTTGATGTTTTTATCTTCCTTGTGGGAGGCTTCTCTCATGTCCCCGCATGAGGAGCTGGAGCTGATAGAGGGAGCTCATCTGCCTCTCCCCGGATTTGAACCTGCGACCTGTCAGTCTTCAGTCCTGCCGGCACAGGGGTTTAACCCACTGCGCCACCAGGGGCTCCACTTATACCAATAGAAATATTGTCTCCTAATACACAAACATGTGTAGAGAGACATAATAAGACCAATATTAGTAAGGCGAGCAAGTATCAATGTGCAATACTACCAATGTCTTAAGTATAGGTAAGCTTTGGAGAATTCACAACTGAAATATTATTATTATAATAATACAACAGCCAGCAGAGTGATCATGTTTGCTGTGGACTCATCTTGTTGTATTTCAAATAATAATAATAAAACAACAATATATTTATTATTATTATTATTATTATTATTATTATTATTATTATTATTATTATTATATTTCTTGCCAGGCTCTCCTCACAGCTCGAGGCTGGTTACAAATGTACCCAATTATGTAGTTCTATTAAGTATTAGAAATGAATTAAAATATAAACAAATAAATGGCCCTGTTTGAACCTTACCTTTCTGTTTGTTGTGATCGCTGAAATGGCCTGTGATTATGATTGTAAATTGTTCTTCAGATGTCTTAGCCATAAACCCTCCATTTGGGACCAAATCAGCACTTTGAATTGTGGTCCAAAATTGCAAACATGTTTTTGAAAAAGTAAAATAAAAGTAATATAATTTAATATTGCTAGAAACAATAATACTCCAGTCAGACTAAACCAGGAAAGGATTCAAATAAAAAGACTAAAAGGAAAACATTTAAAACATTGCTTACATATTAGCATTAAGTTGAAGGCTGACAAATCTCAAAATGTGCAATCAGTTTATTTGGAAAATCTCAATTTGTATTTTTTATTTATTGTTACAGGTTAATTTATGGGAGTATATCCTCCCATAAATATGTAAGCAATGTTTTAAATGTTTTCCTTTTAGTCTTTTTATTTGAATCCTTTCCTGGTTTAGTCTGACTGGAGTATTATTGTTTCTAGCAATATTACTAGATATACTCCCATAAATTCTACCACATGGATGGAGGCTCCCTTAAATTACAAGTTGCACTAATATATGAATTAAATGGAAAATATATACACTGCAAACTGTTTAAGTTCTTTTCTCCAACATTATCTTTTTACTTGTTGATTAACTTCTGAGTTCAGAGCTAAAATGCAATTTATCTAAGCTTTTGTAAGAGATTTCATGCCAACTTCCATTTTTTGCTATTTCAGCTCTAGCTGGTCGAAAACATTTCAATCACCTCTTTACAGAGTTGCTACAGCTGTCTTTACATGTTCGTCGTTCACTTTCCAAGTCTTCGTTATTTTCTGTTGGCAGCATGGTGTCATCTGCGTATCTTAAATTCTTGATGTTCCTTCCTCTAATTTTCATGCCTCCTTCCTCCGAATCTAATCCTGAACTGGGGAAGGACTGGGTGGGCATATCAGATATCTGCTCAGGTAAGTATGCTTCACCCTTGGATGATGAACTCTCAAGGGCAGGGGCATGACACAATGGTTTGTTTAATGTTCTCCTTTAATCTGTAATATTAGCAGTTTATGGCCTATGCCATAAACTGCTCCTGGTCATGTTTTTTCACAGAGAATTGAGCTTTTCAATCTCTTGCTTCCAATTAACTGCTGTTCATCCTTTGCTGCTGCCTTCTTGATGCTTTTGTCAGTCATCCCACCCACTCTCTTTGTCTTCTTTTCCTAATCGAATGGCAGCTATTGCTCTTCCTCCTAACCTTGACCACTGCACCATTGACATCTGAAGTATATGTTTCTTCTCTTCCTATAACCCATGTCATCTTACAGGTCCAGGGATTTTGAACAGGGAACATGCTGCTAGTGTTTACTCAGTCAGTTACATACCCCTGATACTGGGATAACAGAGTTCAAATCCATTATCTGTAGAAGTGTTGTTAGCCTCGACTCTTTTCCACCACTGGTTTGTCCTGCCAAGACATTTTAATTTGTGATGGTGGTGCTGGCTTTGTCATTGCAAAATGGACAAGCAAGTGCAAACAGTGCTAAGGAAGTGAAGCCATTGTCATCTAAACAACCATTCTAAGTGGAATGAGTATATATGGGCTGAGGAAGATACACTTATCCAAGACTACACTCAACACTAATAAGAAATCCCTACATATGAGATGAGTTATTAATTTGTGTTGGGGATACAGCTGATGCCCATTGCCTTTCAAGCATGCTATTGTTCTAATATGAATCAGACTGCTCTGCCACTACTTTCTGAAAATTACCAAACATAACTTACTATTATATTACAGTAATATTGGGTTTGTCCCTACAATGTAAATCAGAAAATCTTCAGGGTGAATTTGCAAGGTAATGTTACACAACATAGATTTGCTCAGTTTTCTCCACTGAACTCTAATTGAGGATAATGCTGCCCTATCTTACAAGAAGGAGTTGCAAAGACTACCAAGACAATGCATGTGAACAGTTAAAATGTTTCAATATATTATTAATTACTATTTTTATTGATACTCTCTATAGGGTCCCGGCAAAGCTGGCACTGATTTTGCCCTTGACTGTGGCTCAGGCATTGGTAGAGTCAGCAAGTATGTTCTCCTTCCCTTCTTTGAGCATGTGGAGCTGGTGGACATGATGGAGAATTTTCTGACTGAAGCTCAGAACTACTTAAGGGGTCAAAAACACAAAGTCAACATGTACTATTGCAGCAGTCTCCAGCAATTTACTCCTACACCCCAAAAATATGATGTAATCTGGATTCAGTGGGTTTCAGGTCAGTTGTAAAAATATGTAAAGATCAATGCACGAGACAAATTATAGGCAGAGCACATTCCCGGCCATGCTGACAAGTGATCCAGACTGTATACAATAGCTAAAATATCTATGGATCCAATCATAGCATTAAAAAATTACTTATTGGGATAGAAATCCCAGTACTGACAAGAATAGCTTTCCAGACCGTGCCAGAATTTGAGACATCTGTCAAATCCACCAACTATATCAAATATTCAAACCAAGGAGAAGGCCTCCACTTTGCTTTGTACCATGCACACATTATTACACAGGTTATGTCATGGACAGTAGGTATAGACCCAGGCCGGCTAAACAAGAGCTAGTTAAGGATGGATCGAGAAGATCCTGTTCAACATGTCTGAATGAATAAGTATACATAATGTGATGTCTATATCATAATATTGGAAATGAATCTGTCATAGCATAGAAAGGCATATGTATTCCTATATTATATGTTGTTGGAGTTATGTATTATATATGAGTGTGGGGGGTATATGTCATCCTGATTCATGGCAAGTGACCCCAAAGTGCAACAGCAAGAATCTAAAAACATCTGTTGTGCGTTTTCAAGTAGTTAGGGGTGATCCTAAGTCTAAGGTTTAGGGCGGGGGCTGGGTAAGTGACCTTGGAAGGCCACGTTTGGCCCATGGGCCTTAGTCTGTGGACCCCTTTTCCAAGGGATACCGTCTTGATCTATTTTATGCTTCTTGCAGGAAACCTGACAGATAAGGATTTGCTAAGTTTTTTTATCCGCTGCCAGAATGGCTTAAAGGAAAATGGAATTATCATCTTGAAGGACAATGTGGCTCGGGAAGGCTGTATCCTGGACCCATTGGACAGCAGTGTCATTCGAGATCTGAGCATCCTCAGCAGCCTCATTGTAAAGAGTGGACTCACCATCCTGAGACAAGAAAAACAAGAGGGCTTCCCTGAGCAGTGTGTACCTATCTGGATGATAGCCATGCAGAAGAATGGTGGCCAAACCAGAAATGGGATGTTGTAGTAAGCCTTAATACGAAGCGTAAAGGCTGTTGAAATGGGACTAAAACAAAGTGAACAAGCATCAGAGATAGGAAATAATAAAATCAAAACATCATCCTTAAATTTATTGCATAATTCCTCCAAGGAGTATGCCCCCCTTCCCCCAGCAAATTAGAAGGTAGTCTATATTAGTTCAAGAGATAACAATTGCAGCCCAGGATCACCAAAGTGAATGTCATGATTGAGATGGGTAAGAGGTATAGGGGACCCTTGAAACCTATGCCGCAAAAGTGTGTTTGAAAATGCATCATAATTGTATTTGTTGTATTTTAACTGTATTTTTAACCTGTCACATACAGACTGTTTTATTGGGGTTTTTTTTAATTTTTGTATTTGCTTTCTTTTAAATTGATCAAAGTGTGTGGCTGCTAGCTGCCTTGAGTCCCCTCAGGGGGAAAGGTGAGCTATAAATAAAGTTGTTAATAATAATAATAATAATAATAATAATAACTACTCATGCTAAAATAAAGGTAGTCCTAAAGGTGTTGCCACAGTCCTTTTCTTCTCTCCACTTTCCTCCATATTTATAGTGCCAGAAATTGATATAGATGCTTCTTTGAAAACTGGTACACAACGTAACCTTAATTTCTTAAACACTCAAGCCTCAGTGTTCCAATGGGATCATAAGTAGTGAATTAGAGTGGTGTGCTTTTATTGTAAGGCACCTTGAATCCCACCTTAAGATAAAAGATGGATATTTATTTAATAAATAAATATATGAGATTACATGATTGAAATTACAATTGGTAACTGATCTTTGGATCCATACTGTATAATTACTGGAGCCATTAGTAATAGACTACCCCTTGAGTTCTCTCTGTGGGGGTTGGTAAATGTAAATAAATAGCAGCTTTATCACAGTTACTGAACCATTATATACCCTGCAGTATAATAAAGTGTTACTTGGGCTTGTATAACAAGTAACAGTATCTTTATTCAGTTCAAAAGATCAAACAGGCAGCAATATATACAGCAGTCTCTCTGAATTCACACAGAGAACAGAGGGATTGAACAGTCTTTTAAAATATGCTTCATGCCTAAACATGATCAGGCTTCAGAGAGCAGTCAGCCATTTCCTTCCTGATTCTCTTCACTCTCCAAAGTGAAAATGGCAGTTAAAACCGTTTGTCTCTGCAGCAAGCCAGAGACATCCTCCAATCAGAATATTAGCCCCTGGCATGCTCAGCCAATCAGCTGTCAACACGTATTTCCAATTAACCCACCATATCATGGTGTCTCTTTTCAAATCCTCATACCCTCTCCTTCTCCTGTCTTAATTTTTTTGTTTGTTTTTGGTACAAATTATGCAAAACCTTTGTGCTAAGAATTTTTCTCCCTCCCCAAAACAAAGAAATAAAAGCAAAAGAAATCAATTTAAAAAACCCAAATCTTGAGTACTCTAACTACAGCTCCACAATTGAATTAACGTCACTTGGTTGCAACCTGTTTGTAAATACTTTATCCATAATAAAAGATATAAACATGCACAAACCTGAATCCATTGTCCATTCATACACCTGTTTGGAAGTCTCTGCACTTTACTATAGACTATCCCAATAAAACATTATGTTGACCTTCATATTCTTGTTGCTGATCATCTTTAAAAAAAAATTCCATACAAACATACAGTATTGACATAACTATGCAAGGAATAACTGTACTTTGGGGGTTTTTTCCACAGATTTCTTGCTACATTCATATGCAGAAGAAAAAGATATATTGTACAGGCAGTCCCTGAGTTACAAACATCTGACTTACAAATTACTCATAGTTAAGAAGGGGGGTGGGAGAACAAAAAGAGAGAAATCTACCCCTCAGAAGGGAAATCCACTCCTGGAAGAGTTTTCATGAGGAAAAAAATGTCTCAACTGAAGCTTTATTGTTATGAATAACTTCACATTGGAAAAGAATATCCCACTTCTGACACCAATTATGTAATGAATGACTTTTCAATAACTTTAAAACATAGGTTCTTTTTATTGCAATTTCCAGTGTGAGAGGGTATATCAGATTACAGAAAAACATTGAGACAAAGAATGACATTGGACATACAGATTCTATATAACTACATTGGATTTACAATTACATGGCTAACAAACAAAGGGGAATTACATTTTCAGTCAACATTCACACCATATGTACATGCCATATGTACACCATATGTACATTCATCGTCAGGCATTCAAATATTACCATATCATTTTCTCCCTCCTTGGAGAAGCACTTGTTAGGCCAGACCCCGCTTTCCTGCAGCCTTTCCAACATATAGTTCCAAAACTTCCATAACGCCATAACTTCAAAATGCCTCCTTTCCCTAAGCACAATGCCAAGAACCAGATCGCTGTTTTCCATACAGCAGAACCTGACTCCCTGCACAAAATCTAAGACTCCAAAAGTGCACTCCTTCCTCTTCCCTTGAGATAGAAGCCCCAAAGTGTCCAGAATCATGCTTTCCCATAGCATATCTGACACTCTCCGAATATACCATCTCTCTCCTTCCCATGGAGCAGAGCATGGCGAATGAACCAGATTCCTCAGGTTTCTCACACTTTGAGCATTATTAGACTGAGTCTTCTATAAGAATATTCTGCTGATGTAGACCCAACGTTGTAAATGAATGATAGACATCTTCCATCCTGGATCCATCTCAGTTTCCTGGCCAGATGTTGATCTTCTTGATTGGTCTTGATCTTACGTTGACTTCCTTCTTAAAATTGTAAACATTTCTGTTATCATTGTCCCGTACTTATCAGAGTTTACTTTTTCAGCTGTCATTAGCAACTTTTAATTATAGTCCAGCAAGCAGGTGGTTAGTCATTGCAGGCCTTAATATTATACTGGTGTCTCCAAAATTATTAGCTCCATCCATACATTCATCTTCCATTCTTCCATTCATTCCCACATTTCATATTCAATTCACATTTGTCAAATCTGCACATTGAATTTCTTATTACATTATCACCAATCCTGGTTTCTACAAGTCAAATTTTTCAGAATCCAATTCTCGCAGGGACAGAAAGTGATGTGAGGTCTTCTGAACAGGGGCACAGACAGCAAAACAAACACCACAGGGGTGTACACCCTTCCCTATGCTATCCAAGGCCACTCTGTTTATATATGTTTGGCTGTGGAGTTACACATAAAAATGTATCTGTTCTGACTTACAAACAACTTCAACTTAAGAACAAACCAACCGAACCTTTATCAGCAACTTGAGGGCTGCCTGTATATATTTTGTATGACTGTTAATGTTAAATGTTAATGTTTTGATAGAGTTACAAGCTGCGGGGAATGCCGTGGATGTAGCGTACCTGGATTTCAGTAAGGCCTTCGACAAGGTCCCCCATGACTTTCTGGCACACAAACTAGTCCAATGTGGGCTAGGCAAAACTACGGTGAGGTGGTTCTGTAATTAGTTAAGTGGACAAATCCAGGGGGTGCTCACCAATGCTTCCTCTTCATCCTGGAAAGAAGTGACGAGTGGAGTGCCGCAGGGTCCGTCCTGGGCCCGATCCTGTTCAATATCTTTATTAATGGCTTAGATGAAGGGTTAGAAGGCATGATCATGACGTTTGCAGATGACACCAAATTGGGAGGGATAGCCAATACTCCAGAGGACAGGAGCAGAATTCAAAACGATCTTGACAGATTAGAGAGATGAACCAAATGCTCAACATTTGGGCCAGATTGTTCAACAGAGACAAATGCAAAATACTCCACTTAGGCAGAAAAAATGAAATGCAAAGATACAGAATGGGGGGCGCATGGCTTGAGAGCAGTACGTGTGAAAAAAGTCTTGGGGTCGTTGTGGACAACAAGTTAAACGTGAGCCAACAATGTGATGTGGCAGCAAAAAAAGCCAATGGGATTTTGGCCTGCATCAATAGAAGTATAGTATCTAGACCCAGGGAAGTAATGCTACCCCTCTATTCTGCCTTGGTTAGGCCACACCTGAAATATTGTGTCCAATTCTGGACACAACTGAAGAGAGACATTGACAAGCTGGAATGTGTCCAGAGGAGGGTGACTAAAATGATCAAGGGTCTGGAGAACAAGCCTTATGAGGAGTGGCTTAAGGAGCTGGGCATGTTTAGCCCAAAGAAGGGAAGGCTGAGAGGAAATATGATAGCCATGTATAAATATGTGAGAGGAAGTCACAGGGAGGAGGGAGCAAGCAATGGAACAATGGCTTCAAACTACAAGAAAAGCTAAAATATTGCTATGCTACTGATTTGAAGGAAAATTGGTTAAAGACTGCACATCGCTGGTACATGACACCGAAAAAATTAGGAACGAGCAATAGAAGTACCAGCACAAGGTGCTGGAAGTGTAAAGAAAAGGAAGGCTCATACTTCCACATTTGGTGGACTTGTAAAAAGGCAAAAAAATACTGGAGAGAGGTCCAGAAAGAATTACAGGAAATTTTACAAATCAAAATACCATGGAAGGCAGAATTATTTCTCCTAGGGATGCACGAATTGAAAATAGAAAAGAATACAGACAAGATTCTTTTTCTGATAACAACGGCAGCAAGGATAACCTATGCCAGAAGATGGAAGCAAGAAGAAACACCAGATGAAAATGAGAGATTTACAAAAATTTTGGAAGTGAGGAATATGGATAGACTTACATTTTTAATAACAAGTAAAGGAATGAATATGAAGGAAACAAACTGGGAAAAAGTGATGGAATATTTTAAGCAAAGGAATAAAAAGATCCTGATATAATCGAGGAAGAGTAGGAGGGAAGGAAGAGGAAGAGAAAAAATACGAGGAGAGAGGAAGAGGAAGAAGAGGGGAAGAAGGTTAGAAGAATGATAGAGCCCTTGTGAAGACCCCGGGAAGTCGAAAGCAAAAGTTTACTTTACTTAAATCTTTTAAAAAATTGGCTTTGGGCTATAAACCTATTTTTTCTTCTTTTTTCTCTCTTTCCTTTCCTTTTCTTCTTTTTTCCTTTTCGTCTGTCCTATTTTATGCACTACATACTTTCCTGTTTCGGGAATATACTGTATATACACATCCTACCTTTCTCTGGTAGCCTGGGCTACTAATCTATATTTTAAATGTATGTGGAAAATTGAATAAAGATTATATAAAAAAAAACTACAAGAAAGGAGATTCCATCTGAACATGAGGAAAAACTTCCTGTGAGAGCTGTTCAGCAGTGGAACTCTCTGCCCTGGAGGGTAGTGGAGGCTCCTTCTTTGGAAGCTTTTAAACAGAGTCTGGATGGCCATCTGTCAGGGGTGCTTTAAATGAAATATTCCTGCATCTTGGCAGGGGGTTGGACTGGATGGCCCATGAGGTCTCTTCCCACTCTAGGATTCTATGAAAAGAACACTAAGAGGAGGGGGTCTTTGGGATTAAGGGTTTTCTGTGCTCAGGACTCAGTAATGAACTCCATGCTCTCTCCATCCCTTCCTCTCTATGAGGGGTAGACTCTCTCTCCCTTGGCACCAGCCTGAAGAAGCAAACTGCGCATGCGCCGCGCTTGGAAGCCGGGTCTTAGAAGGAACATAACCTGTCCTCGCGCCTCCCCTGCAGGCGCGAGGCAAAGAAGAGGCCGCGCTGAAGCGTCTCCGTCGCTATTGGCCGCGCCGGCCCTTCCGCTAGGCCTGAGCCAATCACCAGCATTTCCTGAGCGGAGGGGCGGGTCCGAGGGACGTGGCAGCGGGAGGAGGAGGAGGAGAGAGGAGGCAGCATGGCGCAGGGCTGGGGCGGGTTCTCCGAGCGGGAGCTCCGGCGGGTCCAGGGCCGCTGCAAAGGTAACCCTCGCCGAAAAAGAAAGGCGGCTCTTGGTGGGGGAAGGCCTTGTCGCAGAGGCTTCCTCTGTTTCCCACCTCCAGCGTCTTCCAGAAGGGAAGAGAGGCTCCTGGGCCCGTGAGGAGGACGTGCTTCCGCTTGTGGAAAAAGTTCTCCTTTCGCTGTGCTTAACTTTCAAACTCAGGACCCAAATCTCAGAAATAGCGAAGGTTTCCCTCTGGGTTTGCAGTCTGTTGCTACTGTCTTGTCAGGTCTGCATCTGTGTTTGATACAAGTTTGTTGTTGTTCATTCGTTCAGTCGTTTCCGACTCTGCGTGACTTCATGGACCAGGCCACGCCAGAGCTCCCTGTCGGCCGTCACCACCCCCAGCTCCTTCAAGGTCAAGCCAGTCACTTCAAGGATACCATCCATCCATCTTGCCCTTGGTCAGCCCCTCTTCCTTTTCCCTTCCATTTTCCCCAGCATAATTGTCTTCTCTAGGCTTTTGCTGTCTCCTCATGATGTGGCCAAAGTACTTCAACTTTGTCTCTAGTATCCTTCACTCCAATGAGCAGTCGGCGCCCGGTGGCGCAGTGGGTTAAAGCCCTGTGCCGGCAGGACTGAAGACCGACAGGTCGCAGGTTCGAATCCGGGGAGAGGCGGATGAGCTCCCTCTATCAGCTCCAGCTCCTCATGCGGGGACATGAGAGAAGCCTCCCACAAGGATGATAAAAACATCAAAATCATCCAGGCGTCCCCTGGGCAACGTCCTTGCAGACGGCCAATTCTCTCACACCAGGAGTAACTCCTGACACGACAAAAAAAATCAAATGAGCGGACAGCTTTATTTCCTGAAGTATGGACTGGTTGGATCTTCTCGCAGTCCAAGCCACTCTCAGAACTTTCCTCCAACACCACAGTTCAAAAGCTCTCTTCCTTCGCTCAGCCTTCCTTATGGTCCCGCTCTCACATCCGTAGGTGACTATGGGGAATACCATTGCTTTAACTATGCAGGATCTTCATTGCCAGTGTGATGTCTCTACTCTTCACCATTTTATCAAGATTGGTCATTGCTCTCCTCCCAAGAAGTAAGTGTCTCCTGATTTCCTGGCTGCAGTCTGCGTCTGCAGTAATCTTTGCACCTAGAAATACAAATTCTGTCACTGCCTCCATGTTTTCTCCCTCTGTTTCCCAGTTGTTAATCATTCTTGTTGCCATGATGTTTGTTTTTTTGATGTTTAACTGCAACCCAGCTTTTGCGCTTTCTTCTATCACCTTGATTAGAAGGCTCCTCAGTTCCCCCTTGCTTTCGGCCATCAAAGTGGTGTCATCTGCATATCTAAGGTTGTTAATGTTTCTTCCAGCAATTTTCACCCCATCCTTGCATTTGTCAAGCCCCGCACATCGCATGATGTGTTCTGCATACAAGTTGAATAGATTGGGTGAGAGTATACAACCCTGCCGTATGCCTTTCTCAATCTTGAACCAGTCTGTTGTTCCGTGGTCAGTTCTGATTGTTGCTACTTGGTCCTTGTACAGATTCCTCAGGAGAGAGACAAGGTGGCTTGGTATGCCCATCCTACCAAGAACTTGCCACAATTTATTATGATCCACACAGTCAAAGGCTTTAGAATAGTCAATGAAGCAGAAATAGATGTTTTTCTGAAACTCCCTGCCTTTCTCCATTATCCAGCGGATATTGGCAATCTGGTCTCTTGTTCCTCTGCCTTTTCTAAACCCAGCTTGTACATCTGGCAACTCTCGCACCTGGATTGTGGCGCAGCTAACTGAGTATCAGCTGCATTAAGATCACTCTGACCAAAAGGTCATGAGTTCGAAGCCAGCCCGGGTTGGAGTGGGTTTCCAACCAATTGTGTGTAGCCTTTGTCGACCTTTGCAACCCGAAAGACAGTTGCATCTGTCAAGTAGGAAAATAGGTACCACCTTAAAGTGTGGGGAGGCTAAATTAACTGATTTATGAGGCCATAAAGAAGACTCCAGCAAAGCATTCCAGCGGGGAAGCATGCGGGAATGCGGAAGTGCTTCATCAGCATCGCAGATGAACGATGAAAACGACAGCTCCCCTGGCGGCCAGAAAAAGTTAAATAGCGTCTGTCTATGTCTGTATATGTTTGTATGTCAAAAATTGGCATTGAATGTTTGCCATATATGTGTACACTGTAATCCGCCCTGAGTCCCCTGTGGGGTGAGAAGGGCGGAATATAAAAGCTGTAAATAAATAATAAATAATGTTTTGCTGGAGTCTTCCTTGCAGGATCTTGAGCATTACCTTACTGGCATGAGAAATAAGGGCCACTGTACGGAAGTTGGAGCAGTCTTTCGCATTTCCCTTTTTTGGTATGGGGATATAAGTTGATTTTTTCCAGTCTGATGGCCATTCTTGTGTTTTCCATATTTGCTGGCATATGGCATGCATCACCTTGACAGCATCATCTTTCAAGATTTTAAACAGTTCAGCTGGGATCCCGTCGTTTCCTACTGCCTTGTTGTTAGCAATGATTCTTAAGGCCCATTCAACCTCATTTCTCAGGATGTCTGGTTCTAATTCATTCACCACACCGTCAAAACTATCCTCGATATTGTGTGTGTATTTATGTGTGTGTATCTGTCAGTTCTGCATCTGTGTCTGGTACAAAATATGTGTATGTATTTATGTGTGTGTATCTGTCAGTTCTGCATCTATTTGCTGCAAGTATGTATGCATGTATGTGTATCTTGTCAATTTTGCATCTGTGTTTGGTACAAGTATGTGTGTGTATTTATGTATTTATTTACAGTATTTATATTCTGCCATTCTCACCCGACAGGGAACTCAGGATGGATTATAATGCACATATACATGGCAAACATTCTATGCCATAGACATACAACATATATAGACAAACACAGAGGTAATTTAACATTCCAGCTTCATATGCTCGAATTCTCGCTGCTTCATGGTCCACTTGTGACACCGAGTCCTTGATGGAGTACTTCCCCGTTCTTTCGCCTGCTGCTAGAGATTTTTATGGCGTTGTAAATTAATTAAATTAGCCTCCCCGCATAAGTGGTCCCTAAATTTGCTACTTGACAGATGCAACTGTTTTTCGGGCTGCAAAGGTCAGCAGCAAGTAGACAAATGGTCAGGAGCTTACTCTGACCTGGGCTGGCTTCGAACTCACGACCTTTCGGTCAGTGGGGATTTAATGCAGCTAACTCCTAGCCAACTGCGCCACACCCCGATATGTGTATCTGTCAATTCTGCATCTCTTTGATGCAAGTATGTGTGTGTATGTATGTATATGTATCTGTCAATTCTGCATTTGTGTTTGGTATAAGTATTATTTATTCGTTTATTTATTCTCCCAATGGTGGGAGTCAAAGTGGCGCACAGTGGTAAAAAAAAACAATTATCGGTACATAAAAATACATTCAAATGGACATCATAAAACAAGTCACCCAGATACCCAATTACCTAGACTATATACAATACCTTAATAACGTACAACAATACAATTAAAATACTCCCTAATCTCAGGCCACTGAGGTTTTTTGTAAAAGCAGGTTACACATTAGGCTGTGTCATATTCCCAAGTTCAATATAGCATTTAAAGGTAAATATTACCGACTGCCATCTGGCCGTTGCTAATTATAATTCATCTGGGAAGGCCTGGCTCCACAGAAAGGTCTTAATTTGGGATCAAAAGGCCAGCAAGGAGGGGGCTGACTGTACTTCTCCAGAAAGGGAGTTCCAGAGCCACGGGGCCATCACCAAAAAGACCCTTTCTTATTCCCACCAACTATGCTTGTGCTGGTGGCAGGACTGGAAGAAGGACCTCTCCTGATGATCTCAGGGCACGAGTGGGCTGGTAGAAGGAAATGCAGTCCCTCAGGCTGGGCTCAAACTGGTGGCTTCCACTATGTCAGCTAATGCTGCTATTGCAATATTTCTAAATTGATAGTAAGGTAGGCAATGATGGTACGAATAATCCTATCCGTGAACCATTCATTGTGTGGCAGCCAGATATTCAAGTGTCTCCATAAGCCTGGGAGCATAAGTTTTTAATTCTTTTCTGAAAGAGGAGAGCGTGGGGGACATTTTAATCTAATTTGAGAAAGAGCTCCAAATGCAGGGGGCGACTGCAGAGAAGACCCACCTCTCTCATTCCCACCAACTGGGTTTGGGACGGGAGGGAACGAGGGGAGGACCTCGCTTGATGAACGCAGTGTCCCGTAGGTTCATATGAGGAGAGGCAGTCTGGACCCGAACCATTTAGGGCTTTAAAGGTAATGACCAGCACTTTAATTTTCACCCGGTAGCAAACTGGGAGCCAGTGGAGCTGCCGTAGCATGGGAGTTGTTCACTCCCTGTACAGCTCTCCAGTTAGTAATCTGCCTGCAGATCTCTGGAACAGCTGAAGCTTCCGGGCTCTCTTGTCAACTTACAATAGATTTCCTAGGATTTCCTTAGGGAAGGAGTACTTAGAGGTGAGATTTGCCAGTTCATTCTTTTGATTTATAGCCAAATTTGGTATTGTTGATTATCACTGGCTAATACACATTTTGGTGCCTTAAATGGTGCCTCACCCTCTAGAACCTCTATTCAGACTCATTTTATTGCTGTCACACCCAGTTTAAATTTTTTAATCTATTGTAATAGGCCCTGCCCACAGTGTTGGATCTTTGTGTTTTTAAATGTTGTGTTTTATTGCTGATATGTTATTTATAATGGTTTTGTATTGTACTTTTACTTTCTGTTTTATTTTATTGCTGTGTGTTGGTTTATACTGATGTATTGTATTGTCGGGCTTGGCCTTATGTAAGCCGCCCCGAGTCCCCTTGGGGAGATGGTGGCGGGGTATAAATAAAGTTTATTTGTTTTTATTATTATTATTATTATTATTATTATTATTATTATTATTATATGTTAGCTCTGTTTCTGGGTATATTTGACCTGCAGATTCCCAAAATGGGACTAGTTTCCTCCTATCAGCTCTAGTTTATGAGACAGAGAACATATGCCATCTACCAGTCTGCTCACCCTTAGAAAATAATGATAACCATATGTGAGATACTGGATCTGATGAGGCCTATCCAAAGCAATTTTAACAGGTCTGGTAGTTGTTGCAATGGAATAAAAATAACAGGATTGTGCAGGAGATGTTTCTTGATAGATTTGACACTTTCCCCAAACTCTGCACTAAATGGTTAATATTGTGGAGAGAAGGGGATTTGAGTATTTGACACTCCTGCAATTCTAAAATTAGCAAAACTTTGATATCTGTACATTGTGATTTTTGTGGCCCATGTTTGTCCTCCTTTCTGCTATTGATGTGTGTTTTTGTAGTGTGTCCCTATCTCAAGATATTCAAGCTTATGTTGTGCTTATTTGTACTTTTTAGATCACTCTGAGCCTCTTCCCGAGCAGAAGCATCAATCTTTTGTGAAGCAGAATTACCAGCATTTGCAGGGCAAAAAGATTGTCCAGCAAATATCTGAAAAAATGGAACTACCAGATGGAGCAGCCTTGTCACCTCAGAATCAGAGGCTTTCAGGGCCTAAACGGAGCTGTCCATCTTCACAGGCATCCTTGTCACCATCTGAGTCTCTGACAACAAGAGAACCACAGGATACCATAAACCAAGAAATGGGACTAGCATCTAATTGTGATTCCCTCGCAGAGCCCAGTCACACATTGGGAAAGAAGAGAATGGAAATGTTAGTAAGTCTGTAATAAAGCTGCTAGATGTTTATCATTTATAATAAGTCACAATTTATATGACAAATTCAACATACCAATTTTGCAGTAGTTTTAGAGTAGTACTAATAATTACATCTGATCTTTTCATATTTTCCTGTGATGGTTCACTAAATCTGATGTCTCCAGTGGAAGCATGCATTGGTTTTGAGATCATTACTTGAGTGAAGATCAAAATCTACATGGTTAGTTGCAAATAATTTTCTGATTGGATTGCTGTGAGTTTTTTGGATTGTATGGCCATGTTCCAGAAGCATTTTCTCCTGATGTTTTGCCTGCATCTATGGCAAGCATCCTCAGAGGTAGTGAAGACACAGTGATTCCAACCATGAAAGCCTTCAACAACACAATTTTCTGATTATATAGAAATTCTTGGAACAACATGGTACAAAATAGCTTTCAAATTTATTGAAAGAATAATTTATACATTGGGTTCTTTTTTGTGGAACATTGTGGATTATCAAGGATTCTGGATGTATATTCAGTCAGTGTTAGAATTATAGAACCTTACAGTTGAAATAAACCACAATAGATACTGTGTAGTCTTTTGATTTATCATTTTATCATATATGATAAATAATAATATGAGAGCATACCTGGAATTCTACTGGAGCTGCCCATTGGAAAGAATAATGATTAGGCAAATCATTTTTTTCATGAAAGAACTGGTGTTTTTGAAAGATCCTATGTTTTTCAATGCAGCTTGAAGACCTGCGGAAGGTATAGGGTACAACTAAGATTTTAAAACAATTCCATATATGAAGAGTTACATTCAGCTTTTGAGTATGTCTTTCTTTTCCCAAAGTGAAGGAGGTGAAAAACAATCATGTTTGAATTGAACACTGAAAGCCATTCATTCTAGGAACATTAAGGTATAAAGGTGGTTATTATGGTTGCCGTAGTAGTAGTAGGAGTAGTAGTAGTAGTTATTGTTTACTTATATCCCATTTTTCATCCAGTAATGAATTCAAGGAGGCTAATAGCATATTTAGAACAAAAACAGTGTAAAGCCAAGTAAAAGTGTTAAGATTTTAAACCAATTAAACTATTGATCGGCTAAGTATGGACCATTCAGTCCAACTCCCTGCCATACAGAAAAAGCACAATCAAACTACCCTTGACAGATGGCCATTCAGCTTCTGTTTAAATGCCTCCCAAGAGGGAGCTTCCAACAGATTCTGAGGCAGTGAGTTCCACTGCTGAACAGCTTTTATGGTCAGGAAGTTCTTCCTAATTTTCAGGTATTTTATCTATTGTGTCAGAAGCAAATTGGGGGTACACTTGTAATATATTTAAAAACACAAAGTTAAACACTTGGCATTAACTAAATGTCCTTTGACCAGAAGCTGGCCACTTGGGGTGCCTTTTGTGTCACTGTGATAAGGTCCTCCATTGTGCATGTGGCAGGGCTCAGACCTCATTGTAGTAAATAGCCTGTGGTTTGCTCTTCTCCATACTTGCATGTTGCGGATTCCACTTTGTAGCCCCATTTCTTAGGGTTGGTTCTGCATCTCGTGGTGCCAGAACGCAGCATTATCCGTGCCTTCCAAGTTGCCCAGTCTTCTGTGTGCCCAGGTGGGATCTCCTTTCCTGTAATTTGAACCCATGGCTCCATTGAGTCCTAGTGTCCAGCAGAAAACAGGCCTGCTCCCTCTTCCTGATGACATCCTTTCACATATGTTTACATGGCTATCATGTCTCCTCTCAACCTTCTCTTCTGCAGGCTAAACATACCCAGCTCTTTAAGTTGCTCCTCATAGGGTATGGTTTCCAGATCTTTGATCATTTTACTTAACCCAAAATGATCAGAGGAAATATTAATCAACCTTTCTTCTAGTTATTTCTGAAGAAATTCCAAGATGCAGCATGGAGTAATGTAATCATTGTGAGGGCTGCTTGAGGAAGGGAGAGAAATGGAAGTAAATAGTTAATGTTGTGACTTTCTCAATGTTCAGACAGGAGAAGTCTCGGTGGGAAATCCTTCAGCGGGAACAGAAGCTTATGGAAGAAAAGAACAAACGCAAGAAAGCTCTGTTGGCTAAAGCAATTGCTGAAAGGTATGGAGGCTTTTCTGTGTTCTTCAGTCAGTCATACCAAAGGAACATGCTGAATATTTTTTCTATATGCTTCTGTATTGTATGCCTAATTTTGCCTTGTTAGGAAGCCCTTTCTCATTTGATGATTGAATTCCACTGTGGAAGATTTTGCTAAGCTTCCTGGTGCCTTTGTAACTGATACTAATCCCTCAAATTTTGTTGGAAAAATGGAATGTGCTTCCATGAGAATTTTCAGAATTATGTTAGTTGTTTTTCAGAAATATGATGTATTCAAAAACCACCAAAACCAAAATTCTCAGAGTGATGATATTGCTGGAGCTAATACATGTTTCCAGTTTTAAAAGTCTCAGTTTTCTGAAACAATTCATTAACTTACTTGGTGACTTAAAGTAGTGTTCATATCCATATTTTAACATGACAGGACATTTCTGGAAATACAGGTAGCTTTTTAGGAGAAAACCCCTGTTAAACTGTACTGTTTTAAACAGTCCATATGTCTTGAAAAATTCCTCCATAGCCCACAGCTTGAGTAATACATTCATTGTGGAAGAAAATATATAGACAAATCCTTTCTTCTGAAAATTATAAGCAGCTTGGCTTGCCAGTTTCTGTATAATAACTGACGAGAAAAAACAACTCTATAGCACCTATACACACTTCTGTAGGTCCTTTTTGGGCTCCTCTCAAATACACTTTTTCTTCTCCCATCTCATCCAGGGTTTCATCATTTAGTCTTGTGCATTTGGCCCGCCCATGTGTTTTGATTTTCCATTGTGTTATTTTGCTTTATTTATTTTATTTTCCTACTGTATGTATTTCATTTTGATGTAATTTTTGTTGTTCTGTATTTTGTATTTTATTTTGCTGTATTGTACCTTCGGGCTTGGCCTCATGTTAGCCGCCTCAAGTCCCCTTTGAGGAGATGATGGCGGGGTATAAATAATAATAATAATAATAATAATTATTATTATTATTATTATTAACAAATAGCCATATCCCGTGTTGAAATATATGATTTCTTCTAACATCAAAATATAAATAATTTCCTTTTTCTTTTCAAGATCCAAAAGAACTCAGGCTGAAACAATAAAGTTAAATAAGATCCAAAAACAGCTCCAAGCTCTAGATGCTATGGTATCTGCCGATATTGGGATACTGAGAAATAGGATTGACCAGGCAAGTTTGGATTATTCATATGCTCGGTAAGGAATCTGCATACAACCATCTGTGTCTTTCTGTTAGCTCATTCTTATGGGCATTATTATTTGCCTTCATTATTTTTTTCCCCTTATGCCACTATTACTATGTGCTTTTCTTCTTGGCTCATTTGTAAATGATATTGTGCCCCAGTCTCAATCATATGTCATATTTGTCTAAATCATAACCAGGTATGAGATAGTCTATGAAATTATGTATCAGTCTAGAAATGTCAGTCAAACATCAACCCCAAAACCCCAGACTGATGTGTTCATGGGTCAGTGTCACTGTACTTTAACTCATATCAAAAAAGGAATCATCTCTTTCTTTGAGTAAAGTGGTGAAATGCAAGAGATTAGTTCATCTTGGGAGAACTTAAAAGGAGCACCTATCTTGCCTAGTCTTTCTGCCTTCTGACCTTTTTGTTTGCCTGGGCAGGGATCTGCTGGCTGTATCTAGGGGTGCCTGACTGCTGAGGTGGCAGTGGTCCATGCTCTGATTGGCTGAAAGTAGACACAACTGGCGACTACAATTCCCAGAACACTCCCTTGCGGTTTGTCTTATTTTAAAAAATGTTATGGTTAAAACTTAAAAATAATTCTTAAAAAATCAGTAGGTTGGGGAATTGTTTTGAAACTTGTCCGGCCTGCAGTTGTAAATGGGGTCTAAAGCTGAGGTAGGTTTCATGCAGATAGGCCTTAAAAGGCTGAGGAATGAGCATTAAAAATTTCCCATTGTAGCTTATAAGCTGAATCTTTGCTGAATGAACATGGCAACACCCCTCCTGATTTGAGTAACCCCCAGTAAACAGAATGGTTTGCCGAAAATGGACCCTGAAATGGCATGCCTTTTGGTTGAATTGCACCCTCTAATATATATACTGAAGTTATTCAGCAGATGCAACATTATTCCCGTGATTGTGCAGAGATTTTCCTTGTGGTTCAAGATCAATTAATTTAAAATATCCGTAATTGTAATACCTTCAATGGGTCCAAAATACTGCAGCCGGAATGATGACTGGAGCCAATCACAGGAAACAGGAAGCATATAACTATTTTGTTAAAGAACTCCACTGGCTATAGGTTCATTTTTGGCACAATTCACACAGAAGGGAGCAGATTGCTATGCAAGAATATAATAATTTCCACGTCAGGAGTTTGTTTATTGCCCATCACTTTTACAGTAGTGAACAAATTTAATAAAACTAAAAAAATATTTTCTTTTGTGTTCTGCATGGGATTATTTTTGGAAGGAGAATGTTAAAAAAACCCAAACAAGTTTCCTTTCTCAGTATTCGGAAGGCCTCTCTTTCATAGTGTACTGAAATACCTTGTTAATTAATCAGAAATCTGAGATGTTTGGGGCTAGAAAGCACAGGAGGGAAGGTTTATAGAAGATCCTCATGTCTATATCCATGTAGCCTGTTCAATGCTAGCTGAACACCTGAAAAGATTGTGGTGAGGCTATATTGAAACATTTTGTAGCCAATCTCATTCGTTGTGCTCTTATATTGGAGCTTGGTTTCTCAAATATGGCAGTGGTGTAGATCTAATGTACACCATTTTTATTTATTAGTGTTTCAAAATCTGTTCTGTAGTTTGTATCCATACTGCAGAAATGATTCCTGTTGCCAGAGTATACAAACATTATGTGTGGTAAACATTATTAAATGACTGATTTTTTTTCCAGGAAGCGATATGATAAGGCAGAAACTGAATATGTGGCTGCAAAGCTAGATCTCCAGAAGAAAGCAGAACTCAAAGAACAGCTCACAGAGCACTTGTGCACTATCGTACAGCAAAATGAGCTCCGTAAGGCCCAAAAATTGGAGGAGTTAATGCATCAGCTGGAAGTGGAAGCAGATGAAGAAAATCTGCAACTTGAAATAGAGGTGGAGCAACTGTTGCAACAGCAGGAAGCAGAAAGTAGAAAGCAGTTGACAGAGTCACAGAAACTTGGTTCTGTTGGTGTCGACGATACATCTCCCCAAACTACCAATCAAGGACATGGGGACAAAGGCAATGGAGTTGCAGAAAGATTAGAGGATCAGTCCACAAACTCGCATACGGATGGCGAAGATCTAACAGTAAACGCTATTACAGAAGAAATGATAACTGATGTGGCATGTAAACATTGAATCTGATATTTATTTATTTATTTATTTACTCCTTTTGTATACCGCATTTATCAGCCTTACGGCGACTCAATGCGGTTTTAGACTTGCTTTTGGTCGGTACTGTTCTTTATTTAGTCATATGGTTTATGGAGATTTTTGGTCCATTACAACAAGAAATCTTTGAAATTTGGCTGGATGACATTGTCACTTTTTTCTTTCTGAATCATCAGTTGAGTTATCTGTCTCCTTATGCAAACTACATTATGGAGTGGCCGATAATAATAAGAAAAAAGGACAAATCAACTTAGTTGTATCTGAATTTCAAAAAAGCAAGCCAGAAGCAAGGCGGCACTCTGTGGAATCCAAACTACTTTTGTACTTAGATATTTTTTCCCTTGTCTTCTATGTGTATGCAATTCAAGATGCCTGTCCTATGAATTTCGTAGGATTTTCTTAGTCAAGGAATACTCTTAAGTGGTTTTGCCAGCTCCTTCCTCTGAATTAAAGCATACAGCAGGAGTCCCTAAACCAAGGCCTATGAGCCTAATGTGACCCTCCAAGGTCCTTTACCCAGTCCCCACCCTAAACTTTAGGTTTAGAGTCACCCTGAGTCTAAAACGACTTGAAAGCACACTACAGTAGCAGTCTTAATTACCATATTTTCCAGTGTACTAGACTGGAAAATCTTATGAAAAGTTGGGGGTCATCTAGTACGTCGGGTATAAAATTAAAATAATAATAATTAAAAGAAAAAATCCAACTATCTTAGGAGGGAGGGAGGAAGAGGAGGAGGGCAGAGGGAGGACACGGGGAGGAGGAGTGGCAGACCGTATTGCCATGGAGACCGGCCGGGGGTGGTCACCCGCTGGGCTATCCCTGTGGCCCCCGCCGCTCTCCCTGCTCTACTTTCATGGCCCTTCTCTGCCCCCAACGCTCACCTCCTTCGAAGGCCACTGGGCTCGTCTAGGCCCAAGGAAGCGCCTTCAGACGACTCCCAGCAGCCCCGGAGGCAACATGCCTGGGATGTGCTCACTGAGGCATTCTGGGAGCCGCAGTTCCTTGCCTCCTACGGCTCCCAGAATGCCTCAGCAAGCACATCCCAGGCAGCCACCCAGGACTGCTAAGAGTCATCTTCCGGAGGCGCTTCCTTGTGCCTAAGGCGAGCCCAGTGGCCTTTGGAGGAGGTGAGCGGCAGGGCGGAGGAGGGCCTTCAAAGTAGAGTGGGTAGAGTGGCAGGGGCCGTAGGGACAGACCAGCAGGCCATCAACCCCAGCTGGTCTCCATGGAATGCGGAGTCGTCTTAAATGGTGAGAATTTCCCTAACTGTATTTTGTGTTGAAAAGTTGGGGGGTCATCTTATGCCCCCAGTTGCCCTGTATGCCAGAAAATATGGTAATTGAGTATCTAATCAGCCAAAAGCAGGCCTGCACTTCTCATTGAAATACTGGTTAGTTTATGTTGGTTAAAATTGTTCTTTATTTTAAATATTGTATTGTTCTTTCAATTTTTTTGCACTACAAATAAGGTATGTGCAGTATACATAGGAATTTTGTCATTTTTTTTTCAAACAATAGTTAGGTACCCCAACTGTCTGAGGGACAGTGAATTGACCCTTGACTTAAAAAGTTTGAGGACTGCTGGCCTGTAACATTCATGGGCAGCTGCCATTCATTCACAGTCTCCCAGTTAAAGTATCTAACTTAGCTTCTGTTAAGGGAGAGCCAAAAAGCAGTGGCATTGAAATTCCCCTTTGTCCTGCAGTCGCATGCATCCCTTTTGCTGTGCTCTTCTGGAGCTCTTTTCCTCCCTGCTTCTTTGGCTTAAGCACACTGGACCACAGCTTTCAGCCCAGAGTTCTGGGCAGTTCAAAGATTTTATTATGGTTCCACAGTATCTACATGGTACTCACTCCGACAGCCATATCAGGAGATCGATAGTGAAAGAGAGCAAGTGACTACATGATCTCATCTAATAACAGAAACTTTATCTACAGTTACCACTCCCCAGAAATGATGCTGACCAGAAAGTGCCTTAGCCTGGCCTGTATGGTCACTCATCCAGGCAACATCTTAACCCTTTGATGACTCGGTTCTAGTAACACATGCCTTGATGATTTTTTTCTAATAATCACCATCAACAGCTTCCAAGATCAGAGGGAATCTGCTGCTTTTAGGGTATTTAGTGGCCACACATTTCAGAAAAAAATAAAATCCAATAAATATTGAGTTGGAAGAAACCACAGGATCCATCCAGTTCAATCCTATGCCATGCAGGAATATATAATTAAAGCAATTCCAACATAGGGCCACCCAGTCTCTGTTTCAAAATATCCAAATGAGAAGACCACCACACTTCGGGGAAGTATTTTCCACAATTTTTTTTGTCGTGTCAGAAGCATCCGCTCCTGTTGTGAGAGAATTGGCTGTCTGCAAGGACGTTGCCCAGGGGACGCCCGGATGATTTGATCTTTTATCATCCTTGTGGGAGGCTTCTCTCATGTCCCCGCATGAGGAGCTGGAGCTGATAGAGGGAGCTCATCCACATCTCCCCGGATTCGAACCTGCGACCTGTCGGTCTTCAGTCCTGTCGGCACAGGACTTGAACCCACTGTGCCACCGGGGGCTCCATTTTCCACAATTGATAGCTCTTATAATCAGGAAGTTTTCCCAATGCTTGGGTGGAATCTCTTTTCCTGCAATTTGAACCCATTGGTTCATGTCCTAGTCTCCAGAGCAGTAGAGAACCAGTTTTCTTCATGTGACATATGTAAACTTTCATGTCTTCTCTCAACCTTCTGTTCCCCAAGCAGTAGGAATCCATTTTTCTCTATCCTATGGTGCATCTATATTGTAGAACTAATGCAATTTAACATGCCAAGGGTCAATTCTATGGAATCTTCGGAGTTAGATCATCAGCACTCATTCTCTTTGGTAGAAAAAGCTAAAAACCTTGTAAAACTTCCCCATTAGAAGTTTTTGAAATTGTGTCTTTAATATTTCACTTTTGAGACACAATTACCAATCATGAACTTCATTTCCTTTTAGTATTCCAGGCCATGGGATCACGCCCAGTGTTACTTTAAATTTGCTGAAATCAGCTTTCTTCAAGTCTAGACCAGGGGTCCTCAAACTAAGGCCCCGGGGCCGGATATGGCCCTCCAAGGTCATTTACCTGGCCCTCGTTCAGGGTCAACCTAAGTCTGAAATGACTTGAAAGCACACAACAACAATAACATCAGCCAAAAGCAGGCCCACACTGCCCATTGAAATACTAATAAGTTTATATTTGTTAAAATTGATCTTCATTTTAATTATTGTATTGTTTTAAAGTGTTTTTTGCACTACAAATAAGATATGTGCAGCGTGCATAGGAATTCATGTTTTTTTCAAATTATAATCCGGACCTCCAAAAGTTTGAGGGACTGTGACCTGGCCCTCTGCTTAAAAAGTTTGTGGACCCCTGGTCTAGATTTTTAAGATGATAAGGCTCCACAATTTCACCAAGAATCCCTACTTGTATGCAGATTGACTCTGGTATCTGCAAAACTGATGTGCGGTTTCACTTAACCATTGTTTCACTTAGTCACTTAGGGCCTTGTGTAAAAACTATACACTCTTTGCAATACCGTTCTTCATTTGATTGAAAAGAATAGTCAGTGTTGCATTCTGTACAAAAAAAAATAGTGTACAGTTTGTATAAAATCAGCCTTTTTGATGGTGTGTGTTTTAAGATGTTTTGGCCTATTAAGACCCAGAATTCTTGCTGAGACCAATGGGATTTGAGTTTTCAAAATCCAGAGGTCAGCTCTGGGTTGCACTGAGTGATTGCACTTTATTTTCTCAGTCATCGAGACCTATATTAAAGTTTATTTCAAACTTATTTGACTAGTAGACCAATTAAATAATAATTTTCAACTCAGTTCCAATGAGTTCAACTCCTAGTCTTGATTTGTACTGGTTGCTTTATTGCTATCCATGTGTATATGTACAGGAACGTTTGTACTTGTTTTATATTTGTTATTAAATTTTTACAATATATACAGTATAACTTTACAGCAAACTAGTTCCCTGTCAATTCTCTTACTAATAAAATATCCTCTGATGTATTTTAAAATTAATAATAGTCTTACCTTACACCAGTGTTTCTCAACCTTCCAAATGCCGCAACCCCTTAATACAGTTCCTCATGTTGTGGTGACCCCCCCCCAAACATAACATTATTTTTGTTGCTACTTCATAACAGTAATTTTGCTACTATTATGAATCGTAGTGTCAATATCTGATATGCAAGATGTATTTTCATTCACTGGACCAAATTTGGCATGCCCGATACGGCCAAATTTGAATACTGACGGGGTTGGAAGAGGATTGATTTTGTCATTTGGGAGTTGTAGTTGCTGGGATTTATAGTTAAGCTACAGTGAAAAAGCATTCTGAACTCCATCAACAATGGAATCGAACCAAACTTGGCACACAGAACTCCCATGACTAACAGAAAATACTGGAAGGGTTTGGTGGGCATTGACCTTGAGTTTTGGAGTTGTAGTTCACCTACATCTAGAGAGCACTGTGAACCCAAATAATGATGGATCTAGGCCAAACTTGGCACAAATACTCAATATACCCAAATGTGAACACTGGTGGAGTGTGCGGAAAACAGACCTTGACATTTGGGAGTTGAAATTGCTGGGATTTATAGTTCACTTATAATCAAAGAGCGTTCTGAATGCTACCAACAATAGAATTAGGCCAAACTTCCCACACAGAACCCACATGACCAACAGAAAATGCTGTGTTTTCTAATGGTTTTTGGTGACCCTTCTGACATCCCCTCGTGACCCCCCCCCAGGGGTTCCGACCCCCAGGTTGAGAAACGCCTTACACCAATCATTTATCCAAAATCTCATTCGATATAAGGGTGGTTTAAATTTGTTATTGTTCTGGCACATGTTGCTGATGAATGGCTTCTATATGACTGAAATAATTCTCTTATTTCTCTTCTAATAATAATTTGTATGTTAATT